CCAAAAGAGTGACTTCTGTGGCAGGAATTTCAGAAATTGTGACTTGCCAGCAGAGAAAATATTAGAAGAACAACTTACCTGCATAGGTCATATTTTATCCTACTTTGTAACAGGCCATCTCTGCTTTTGTGTATCACTCGTAAGTTCCTCTTCACTCTAGGTCATCTTCTGTGTAGTTACTGAAATAATCACATTCACATACAGTTTACAGTTTTTATCATGTTATCTGTGTACCTGAAGTATTTATTATATACTTGTCATATCCTATCTAAACTCCTCGACCTGGAATTCAAAGTTCATTTTAATCTTGAAGCAGATATTAAATATGTATTAGATTAATGAATTATGAATATCCTAATCCCACCAAGTTGATCTGCGTAAATAAAGCCTGTCCATTCCTCTCTTCATTAGACTTCTGTTTGAGCCCTATCCACCATGGCTTTCACCTCTATTCAAAACTAGTTTAATATTCACTTCTCCTAAATAGCCTTTAATTTTATGTCAGCTTGACTTTGGTTACCCTATGGTGCTGTATTCCTTTAATGTTTATGCTCTTGGTTTGGACTTGATTAATTTATACCAAAGGTCAGATAAGTGTTTTGAACTGAACTTCATTGGTTAAGTGCACTTTGCTGGAAGCACCATAAACTTAATAATCATCTGGTCCTCTATTTTTCCTGGCTTTAAAAGTAGATGCATCCAGAAAATACTTACTGAAAGCTTTTGAGATCCAGGCACCACATCAGAATAATATCGTCCCTGTCCTTAAGGATTTAACAGTCCAATAGAGACGACAGACAATTAAACAAAAGAATGCAAAACAATATGATAAGTGCTATTATGCAGGAACTACAGGGGTGCTAGGGAGCTTGTGGCAGGAGCATTCAATCAAACCAAGGGTGGTGGAGTTTAGGCACAGCTTCCTAGAGAAAGTAGGGTATTGGCTGAGGGATGATTAGGACTTAGCCAGCAAAAGGGATGTGAGACCAAAAAGTGTTAAACTTCATGCTGTTTCCCAGGTCATCAGTGGCATTTTCTCCAAGTAACAGGCTTGGAATATTTATTAACTTATACAAAATACAGTTAGTATAACTAAATCAGAATACTGTTGAATATGTTTAAGGCCCCTAGGAAAATTAGAAATGGAAGTCCACAAAGTATAGAAATGATTGAAGGACACCTCAAACAGCCACTGCCAATACCTGTTTCATTTTGCAGGTCATGCAGCAAGCTCTTTTCAACCTCTAAGAGGGTAGCCACCATCTAAATCTCTGTGACTGCCCAGTGCTGGCCTTTTGACTTCCTCTATTAGATCTCTGAAATTTGTGCCTATTCCTGAAAGCTCTTTGTAGGAATTTATTAATTGCTATAAGACTATGTTGCTGTTACATATCATGGAGCTGGTGAGGTCAAGAATGACAGAGGCTGACCATTCAGCAGGGCTCACCATGTGAAGGCCAGGGTTTGTCGCCACATGGAAAGCCACATCTCTTGACTTGGTTGGTGAACTTAGGGTTAACCTAATAGAATACTGACCAACCCAACCTATCCCCACTTAAACCACAGATAGAAACAATTACTCTAACTTTTGGGCCCCTTATACACACTTCTGTCAGAGCACATAAAACACTTTTTAAAGTTTATTTACATGTTTGTCTCTTATTAAACCAGCTCCCTATGGGTAGGAACCTTTTCTTAATTATCCTTGAATCCTCAGCATTTTTCACAGGACATGGAACACAATAGACATTTAATAAACATACTGACTAAATCTGAGAGTAAGGGGATCCTCTCTCAATATCAGAAAGCTACTTGCCACACAACAGTTTGGATCTTAGTCTGCTTAGTCTATCTTAGTCAGCTTGGGCTGCTATAACAAAATACCATACACTGGGTGGCTTACATAACAGAAACTTATTTCTATTAAAGGTTGGAAGTTCAAGATCAGGATGCCAGCATTTTTGGGCTCTGGCGAAGTCTGTCTTCCTGGCTTGCCAATGGCCACCTTCTCACTGTGTCATCACATGACGCCGAGAGAGAGCAAGCAAGCTCTCTGGTGTCTCTTCTTATAAGGGTACTCTGATCATATCATGAGGGCCCTACCCTCATGACCTTACCCAAATCTAATTGCCCTCCCAAATCCTCATATCCAAATACATCACATTGGAAGTTGGGGCTTCAACATATAAATTTGTGGGGAAGGACATAATTCAGTCCCTGAAAGAAGTGTCATATTTCTCAGGACAGTATTTTCCTCTGTGGTATTAATTCCCAATCACCTTGATTGACCTTGATGTCCTCAAAATTTCCTCAGGTATACATTTGCAAATGATCTCACCCACTACATTCTTTAAAAATAATATTGATTATTTTTTCTGATTATAAAAACACATTTTTCATTGCAGAAAATTTAGAACACAGAAAAATACAAACAAAACTGAAACTACTTTAATATCAACATCTATTTTGTTTTGATTCTTTAAAATTATACTGCAGTTTTGGGGGATGTATTATTTTCAGAAAGATATCAACTGAATTTGTTGGGTGAAAGGCAACATAAATACTTCATATTTGACTTTTATGATGCTATGCAGATTAAAGAATTTTGTTGTACATAATGAATGCTAAGCCTTCATGTTTATATTCAGATATTCATTTTGCAATGAATGAAACAGACAAATCCCTGCCTTCATGGAGCTGTTTTTAAAATCCATTTACTCCCTCACTCAGAATATATTATAACATGCCTACTGTGTGCCAGATCTTGTGCTAGATACTAGGGAATACAGTGATGAACAAGATATTCAAGAGCTTGGTTTTCAATAGAACTTGAATTCTAATGGAAAATTGACCCTGTGAGGAATACAAATATGAACAAGGCATGATAACTTGCCTTTAAGAACCTTAGAAGGAAATAAGATATGTACAAATAGCTATAATCCAAGTGAATAATTCAAAAGTGTTTTTAGTGTAGAAGTTGAGGAAATCTTAGAGGAGCTAATACTTGAACTAGATCTTGAAGAATGGAGAGGATCTGGATGGATGGGGTAATATTAGGGAGTAAGGTGAAGATGGGAACAACTAATGTGGGAGGCTGGCATATTAGCAAAGTTTTGAAAACAGTAAATCCTGGAGCGTAGAAAGTGATTAGCACTTGAGACTGATGAAGAGAATTAGAGATAAAACTAGAAAAGAAATTTGGCACTGAAATCATACTAAATAGATCATTGGCCAAATTTTTATTTTTATTGAAGTACTTTCAGAAGTATGAAAATATTTATGTAGAAAGTTTTAAAACTTTTTTTATCATGTCAAATATAGTTTTAAAAAATTGCTCTCAGTTAAGATTCTCCTTATTCCTCAAAAGCTTTTGCTTTCTATGGCCTTGTTGCAAATATAATTAATTTACTTAGTTTTAAAATACTATTAATTTTTATAAGAAAGGTTATCAGATAATTATTTAAATTTTTTTATTGGTAAATTTTCATTATATTGTCTCCCAATGAACCACTATATTTTGTCAATATCTCAGAACATTATATTTTTATATGAATCATTTATGTACCTCTCCGTAACAGGTGGGAATTGCTTCATGGCATTTGGGGAGCACGTAATATATTTATAGTTGACTGACTCAAATCCAGCCTGAGCCCTCTGGCCTGGTGAGAATTCCAAAACTCCATTTGTTGATGTGCCCTCCATCTTCCTTACGTGGACCTTAAGACACTTACCTGTCCAGGAGCCCATTCCTTCTAGAGCGTAAGAGCAGTGCCCTGGAGGCAAACAGACTCCTAGCAAAGGTCTTCCTTCCCAGCTCGACCATCTGTCCCACCTCCCATTATCTTTAGGGATCTACCTGCTTTTCCTGTGAGTACAAAACATTTCCTTTTCGTGAGTACAAAACATTCCCTTAATCCTGTAATCATGAAACCCTGTCTACTCTCCTGAAATGAGGAAGAAAATTAAATCCTTGCTGAGATGTCTGTATCACGCTGAGGGAGGGAAGGTGTTAAAAACAATAAAAAGGGCAGGGCTGTGGTGGCCCATGCTTGTAATCCCAGCACTGTGGCAAGCCAAGGCGGGCAGATCACTTAAGTCCAGGAGTTCAAGGCCTCCTGGGCAACATGTGAAACTCCTCTCTACTAGAAATAAAAAAAATTAGCCAGGGGTGGTGGCGCCCGCCTGTAGTCCCAGCTACTCAGTTGGCAGGAGGATCCCTTGAACCAAGGAGGCGGAGGCTGCAGGGAGCCTAGATCGCACTGCACTCCGGCCGGGGTAATAGAGTGAGACCCTGTCTCAACAACAACAACAAAACCAATAAAAAGATAATTTCGTATTTAAGTTACCCAAGAAGGAACTGTAATTTGAATCAGATCTTAGATGATGACTAAGAAAAAGAACACTCCGGTAGAGGAATTAACGTTAGAAAACACACTGAGTCAAAAAGGAATACAGTGTTCAAGAGTAAACATTGTTTTGAGTGTCAGGAGAAACATTAGATAGGAATGGGCCGTTTATCTGTCTAAGAAATTTGCACTTTCTCCAGTAACGGTTGTTTTTGTCTTTTATAGGAAGCGTGGATTATATTCCTGGAAACTTTGGGACTGAAAGGTCAAAGCTTCTGGGTCCACCATCAACGCAGCTCTGCTTTCATTTCTTTCACATACAACTTTCCACATGAGATTTCAGGCAGGGGAAAAAAACAAACAAAAAAGGTTTTATGTTGATAACAGTATATTGTTTACTTTATACACAGCGTCTTTGTTCCAGACACTTGCTGTGACTCATTTATTCTCACACCACCACCACAGCCTCCTTTAGAGATGAGAAGACAACCTCAGGGAGATGATGTATTTGCCTAGGTCCCATAGCTAGCAAGTGACAGTGCTGCAGTTTAAGCTCAGGCCGTCTTGGGGAGAGACCATGCTCTTTTACCGTTGCACTTCAAGCTGACTTTAGGGGAAACAATCTGAGTTTTGACAAGTTTACTTCTGGCACATGCAGTCCCGAACACTGCTTTTTGGCTAAAATGCCCAGTGATGTCAACTCTGTCCCTGGATTTCTACAACCCGATGAGTCAATATTCAGAAGAGACGTCAAAAGGAAAGGGTTCAATAGACAGAAAACACACCAGACAGTTCCGGGAGCCCCAGAACCCTGGTCTCTGCTGGCGCGGGAAGCCAAGACGTCACTTAAACGCGCTGCCGCCCCCTCGCCCCGCCCCGCCCCGCCCCTGCGCGGAAGTCTAGCCAGGCTTTCGAGTCACTACCCTGCCCACCTGGGTGGCGCGTGGCTTACGCAACGGTTACTGGGCTCCCGGGCCAGCGAGGGCTGCGCAAAAAGTTGTAGGTACGGCCCATTTTTCTTAACTCCGCCCTTCCAAGCCCTTTGGTGCCAGTCCCGGGTCTCCCGCGATCATTTCCTTGCGGTAGGCCCCAGGAGGGCCTTTCTTCCCCCTCAGTTCAATGGGATGCTTGGGCTCCTCTCCCAGACGCTGGGAAAATAGCCAGAGACATTGTCTCTCCTCTTCGTGATTCCTTTCCTTACTCTCTCATCCCACATCTCTCTTCTTTGTTCTCCTTCCTCCTGTTTTTCTTAGTTTACAAATACTCTGCAGTAAGAAAGAAGAGATCTGTCAGTCAAGATTGACTGCAAAATTAATTTTATTAAGCGTGTACTATTTTACAAATGGTGGATCCCTGCAAATAAACCTTCACATACATGCTCCTGTGATTGAAGATTCTGGGATTGGTTGCCCATCCTGAGAAAGCTGTCTTCCCTCACCCACCCACCTCCATGCCCCTTAATCCTGTTTACTCCTCTTGGCTTTAACCCAGTGGACAAGCACTTCCAGCAGTCCTTAACCTTTTTGGCAGCAGGGACCAGTTTCATGGGAGACAATTTGGGGCAGGGGGGTGGGGGGAGGCAGGACGGGATGAAACTCTTCCATCTCAGATCATCAGGCATTAGATTCTCATGAGAAGGTGCAATTTAGATCCCTCGCATGCACAGTTCACGATCGGGTCTGTGCTCCTATGAGAATCTAATGCCTTTACTGATCTGACAGGAGGTGGAACTCGGGCATAATCCTCTAGCCCTGGTCACCTGTTGTGTGGCCTGTTCCTAATAGGCCACAAACCTGTACCTGTCCGCTGCCCAGGAGTTGGGGATCCCTGCTTTAGACCAGTGCTTTTGAAGGAAAAAGGACAGTTGCACACATACTGTGTCTGTCACATCAATCAGGAGTGTTAGAAGAAATCTTCAAGGGACCATACCAGGTCCCTCACTCCCCTCTTTGGGTTTCCTAGAGCCTATGAAATAACAGATTCGGTGATGTGGGGAGATAATTAGCCCAGTTGGCACTGAGGGAGGCCACACCCCACTCTCTGATTTTCCTTAGAGATAAATATAATTACTTGTGCAACAGAAGCATGAAAAATAACACTTATTATTGTCACCCTTAGAGAATTCATGCCCCAAATATTTTAGTCACTGTGTGCCTATGAAAAGGGCATTCATATTTTTTGTCCTCTGGAATTTTTTTTAACTTACTTTTTAAAATTCTATACAGATTTAGTTAGTACAAGTTCAGTTTTGTTGTGTGGATATATTGCATAGTGTTGAAGTCTGGGCTTTTAGAGTACCATGATTTATACTGCTGTTTTTCAGTTGGCTCTTGTCAGAAGGTCCTGGCAATTACAAGACAAAAGGAAATAGGCAGCTGCTGTAATAGTAACATATAACGTATCGTTTTTATAGTACTTCTCATTTTATACTTATTTTCATACTCATCCTGTTTAAACACTTCTGTTGGTTAACGAAATCCAAAGTTACTGGGGTGTTTACTAAACACTGAGATTGAACAGTACCTGGAACATAGTGTAATATATCTCCTTAGAAATATATTCCATAGTGTAATATATTTTCTAAGTGTGAAGAGAACCCAGTAGTGAGTTTGGAGGGAGTGATAGGATCTGATTTACATTTTAAAAACGTTTGTTCTGCCTATTACGTGATGACTGAATCATACTGGGTGGGGAGCAAGATCTATAGCAGAAGGCAATTGCAGAAATCCAAAGAGGAATGACAAGTTCGGGATAAAATAGCAGAGAAGTAGATGTATGTGAGCTCTATTTTGGGGGCAGAGCCTACAGACTTTGTGATGTTTTGAATATAGAGGTGATGAAAAAGGAGTCACCTCTAGCCCCTAAGTTTTTGTCTTGAGATTGTGTGGATGGTTATGCCATTTACCAAATGGAAAAGACTAAAGAAGAAAAAGGAGCAGCCAGGGTGGAGTGGGGGGTGGGGATGGAGTTTTATTTTGCTTACCTTGATTTTTATATTCTTATTAGAAATCAAAGGTAAGCTGAGTCTTGAGCTCTGCAGAGTGCAAGGAACCAAAGATACAAAGTTGGGCGTCATCAGCATATGTAAAACTACCTAGGGCAAGTGTGCTCCCAGAGAACATTGCATTGGCTAGTATAAAGCAGAGGAAAAGAAGCAAACAAAGGAGATGGAAGAATAGCCAATGAAGTAAGAAGAAAATCTGAAGAGTGCGGAGACATGAAAGCCAAAACTGGCCGGGCATGGTAGCTCATGCCTGTAATCCCAGCAGTTTGGGAAGCTAAGCGGGAGTTCCAGACCAGCCTGACCAACATGGAGAAACCCCGTCTCTACTAAAAAACAAACAAACAAAAAAGCCAAGACTGCAAAACATGGCCAATGGTATTGAATCATGCTTAGAAATCAAGTAAAATAAAGAGATCTGTGCATTGGATTTTTGAAACATAAAGTAGTTTTATGCCTTGACTAGTACAATGAAGAGAAAATGTGGTGTCAAGAAATTGACATAGTACTGCTGGCTGGGCACAGTGGGTGGCTCACACCTGTAATCCCAGCACTCTGGGAGGCCAAGGCCGGCAGATCACAAGGTCAAGAGACCTGGCCAACATGGTGAAACCCCGTCTCTACTGAAATACAAAAATTAGCCAGGTGTGGTGGCATGTGCCTGTAGTCCCAGCTACTCGGGAGGCTGAGGGAGGAGAATCGTTTGAACCTGGGAGGCAGAGGTTGCAGTGAGCCAAAATCGTGCCACTACACTCCAGCCTGGCAACAGAGCGAGACTCCATCTCAAAATAAAAAAAAAAGAAAAGAGAAAAGAAATTGACATAGTATTATAGACATCTCAAGACGTTTTACTATAAAAGAGAGCCAATAAATGGAGGTAATAGAGGAATATGTATGGTCAAAGAAGGGTTCTTAAAGATAAGGATAGTTAAGCATATTTAGACTAATGGGAATAATCCAATAGAGGGGAGTGGAAATGATGGTATAAGAGAGTGTGTATATTTTAGGAGTGAAGTCTTTGAGAAGATAAGAGGGTATGGAATCCAGGGAATATATAGAAGTGTTGGCCTTAGGTAGGAACATGAACATATAATTTTTTTCTTTTTGAGACGGAATTTCACTCTTGTTGCCCAGGCCACAATGCAATGGCACCATCTCAGCTCACTGCAACCTCTGCCTCCCAGGTTCAAGCGATTCTCCTGCCTCAGCTTCCCAAGTAGCTGGGATTACAGGCACGCACCACCACGCCTGGCTAATTTTTTATATTTTTAGTAGAGACAGGGTTTCACCATGGCCAGGCTGGTCTTGAACTCCTGACCTCAGGTGATCCACCCGCCTCGGACTCCCACAGTGCTGGGATTACAGGCGTGAGCCACCACGCCCAGCCACATGAACATATAATTTATAGTAATAAGAAGAAAGACAGCAAGTATGGGTAAAGATGCAGATAGATGGGTAGATTCAGTGGTCAGAGGTGAGACCTTTATGCCTGATACTAATACTTTTTCTCAATGAAGATAAGGTATGACGCAAGAATAGTAAGGAGTGAGGAGGAATATTTGAGTAGGAGGTTTAAGGGGAGAAGATAAGGTATAAAATAGTCATTTGGAGGATGGAAAGCAATCAGAATCGTAGCACAGCTGGGCAAAGTTGAGTGGCCATTTGAGATTTGTGGCCCTGTGAGTGGCTAAGATACAGTGGAAGAAAAAGACAATAGGAGCTAAGGAGATCAAGGAACTGAAAGACTAGAGTGTTGGGTGTGTAGACCACCTGGGTATTAGTGGTTGAATTAGTAGCTAAATTAGTATTTGAGCCCAGATATCCTGACTTTCTAGGTCAGAGGGTTACCATTTCACTGTGAAACAGTTCACAGCACTACTCTTTTGTGCCACTTACCTACCCTTTTGGTCAACATTAAACAAAATTGTGGCCTGATTTTTTTTGGGGGGGGGTCAATACATTCAAATTATAAACTGTCATAGGCTAGTACTTTTGTCTTGTCCCTTTCATACATTAATATATACTTACTCAATTTTTGGCTTGTTTTTCTTTGTGATTTTTAACCATTTCCATCAATATGTATTTATTAAAGTACAAAAGTCTATCTCTTGGATGGTAAAGCGAAGATGAAGAATGAACTTTGGAAATCCTGTAGCATTACAGAGCTAGGATAACCAGTCATAAGGAAACTTGATCTGCATTGACTTTAATAACAATAATAATAATAGACATCATTTTGGATAACCTTTTACATTTTATGCTTTTATTTTCTCTTTATCTCATTTCATTCTTGTAACTGCCTTTTTCAGATGAGGAAATTGAGACTTAGAGAGGTTAAGGGTCTTGACCAAGGACACATACCTAGTAAGTGGCAGAATTATTAATCACAGTGTTCTGACTCTAAGTCCCATATTTTCCACTATATTAGTTTGTCTCTTTGCTTTTTACACTCCGTTGTATCCAAAGTGATATCAAAGAAAAACTCGCTGGGTAGAAAGTATTGGCTGGTTGGTGGCCTCTTAAAATGCAAAGAGTATTTAGTATGTGTTTAAAATCCAATAATTGATGGTATAAATATTTATCTACTATATACTATGTTAGGCAATTCAGATGACTCAGAAATGATTATGGAACTGTCTCTAGTTTAATTTAGTAGGGAAATAGATGGGAACACAAGTCACTAAGAAGCATTTCTTGGACTTCTCTCACATTCTAAATGTGCTTCTACAATACTCTATATTGACCACAGTCTGTACACAGAGGAGAGTACAGTATCTGTAATATAATGGGCTCTCAATGAATAGTTGTCAAATTTAAAAATGATGGCAGTTAAACAAGGAATTAAAATAGTGGGGTGCATGCTGTGATAAGTGTTGCATGCCATGATAAGGATGCATGTTGAAGGTAGTGTCAGGAAATCTTCTGGAAGAAATGACTTCTAAATAGATGAAGTGTTAGCTGGATGAAAAGCAAGAGTGCTGGTGTTGGAAGGCAGCATACAG